AGCCAAGAGTGGCAGCCTTACCTCTTTGTCCTCCTTCTGATTAAACACAAACAGCAGCTTCCTGGCAATTCTGAAGATGGAAAGAGCACTTCTCTTGCTCGAGCCAGACTCATCAGCCCCTAAGAAATCATCCACTTCCCTCCTAGGAGAAACGGGAGGAGCATCAGTAGTTAAAAACCCAGCCGACCCAAGCGGGGAGGAGCAGAGGGTGAAACCCCACACACACCTGATCTCCCTCTGCAGGCGGCAGCGACAGAGGAACCTCCTGACCAGCGCCTGGAGCTGCAGCGCCGCGCGTTCCCGCTCCTTCAGCTCCCGCCGCTCCTCCCGCGCCTGCCGGGCCTTGTCCAGGAACTGCGCCTTGGAGGACTGGCTGGCACCGAACATTGTAACCGCCTGCCGCCAGGAAACAACGGAGCACTGCAGCAAACACCCGGGGAACGGGCGGCAGGGCAGGCGGAACACGGAGGGAAGAGGAACTTCTGAACGCGGGAAGGAGAGAACAGCCCAGGAAAGGAAGGACGTGGGAAATACGGGCTGGGAAAAGCCAAAGGTGCTTGTGAGTGGGGCTGCAATTAGAACACACACTTCCAGAAAAGCCTGCAAACTAATGCAGGGAAATAGATTTCAAGAGGGGAAAAAAGTAACCGGTGTGCTGTGGCCGTGTCCCCCTCCCCGGGCTTCACCTCCCCGGGCCGCACGGCCCCTCTGCAGGCTCCTCACCTGGTTTGCAGGTAACATGAAAACAACCACACAGGCAAGGACTGGAGGGAAAGGGCACAAAGGACACTCAGAAACGGATTTATTGCCACCCAACCAGTCACGATGAAGAGCCAGCAACTTGACAAGGCACTCACCGGAGGGCTCGCTGCTCCCGACGTGCCCGGTGATCATTTACACACCCGCGGGGCTCTCCCTCCGGCCTCGGGCAGCTCCTGCGCGGGGAAGCACATCAGGGGTCTCGGGGCTTTGCTCCCGGCCTCTGCAGGTCTAGGCCCTGAGCAGACCCGCCTCCCCCCGCACCCTCACGCAAACATGAAGCCCG